TTTGCCTAGGCTACTGTCTTTAAAGCGAAAGAAGCTATCAATAAAGAACTTTTTTGGAGGGTTGGAATCAATAGTGGTGTTCGTATCTTTAAGGACGGATGGGGAGGCTTCAAACTAATTATCTTTTCACGTGGGTATATTAATAGCATGGATGATCCCATCAGATGTGGGGAGTTCATGATCCAAGGTCAACCGAGATGGGATGGGATTAAGATTAAAAGAGTCTTCCATGAACATGACTCAAAAGCTATTCTTAGCATGCTCATCACACCTCAGCTCGACGAGCAGCTTATTTGGGAACACCATAACACCAAAATTTATTCGGCCAAATTGAGATACAATTGGATTATCATGAAATCCAGGGGAGAGCGTGACCGCTGCCTTATTTGGAAGTGTATCTCAAAACTTAACCCCTTTCAAAGGTTAAGGTTTTTGGATGGCGGGCATGTCATGATGCTCTTCTGTTAGACACAAGCTTGCTGTTGCGGGTCTGGAAAATGGATCATGCCAATTTTGCAATCAAGGGACCGAAACTACCCTTCATGCTTTTAAAGATTGCTCATTTACAAAAGAGGTGATGCTTCTTTCTGGATTGGGCCGAATATTGAACTTCCTACTCCTTGTAAGGCTTGGTTTGAAGAGGTTGCTTCCAAAATGATGCCTTTGCTCGCTTTATCATTTTACTTTGGAATATATGAAACAGGCGAAACAAATGGTGCCATGGAAACGTAGTTCAACCAGCCGACGAAGTGATCAATGTCACATGGACCCTCGGAAGTGAGTTTAAGGAAGCTACCCAAAACTCTCAAGTTCGGGTTCTCAACAAGGAATCGCCAAGAAAATGGACAAAATCGGTGATAGGAGAGCTCAAGATTAACGTCGACGGGGCATTTACCCCACATTCCTTGGAAACTGCTATTGGAGTGGTTACCGGACTGTTGTGAAGCACATTTTTCGCTATCTAAGTGGCACGTTGGACTATAAGCTTGTGTTTGAAGCCTCGTCTAAGCCATCTGTGCTGATTACATTTGCTGATGTTGATTGGGCCATCAATATGGATGACATATAGTCTGTCTGGGTTTTGCGTTTACTTTAGTGGAAAATTGGCCGCATGGAGCTCTAAGCAGCAACAATTAGTTTCCCAGTTTATAATTGAAGTCCAGTATCAGGGAATTGCTAATGTGACATCTGAGGTTGTTTGGTTACAGGCTGCGTTAGTTGACATGAGGTTTACTCTTAGGACTTCACTTGTCATTTGGAACCACAATACGAGTGCAATGTCTATGTGTGTTAACCCATTTTTTCATGCTCGACTCGATCTAAGCATATCAAACTGGACATACATTCATTTCGGGAGAAGATTACAGAAGGCAACTTGGTGGTCAATTACATTCCAACTTCACATCAGATTTACAAAGCCTCTGGCCAAATTATGTTTTCATGTGTTTAGAGAGAAGGTCAAGGTTGTTGAAGGAGTAGAGAGAATATTAAAGTATGAAGGAATGGTTAGGGGTTAGGGTTAGGAGTGTTTTCTAGAAGGTTGTGTACAACTGAAAATTGTTAGGCAATTACGTGGCTAACTAGGATAATTGCATGAATTGTTGTATGTTAAATAATTAGATTACATGTATTTATATGTACGATTTTTTTTATAATCTCAATAATATTCTTCAATATTTCTTTGTATATTCAACGTACAATAATAAATGTAATCTATATTGAAGTGATTTAATGCGACAAAAATTAATTGAAGTTCAATATTACATTAAGCAAGGTCAATATATATATATAGATAGATAGATATGTACCTTAACAATTAACTATTGATGATGAGTTTATTATAAATTAATGTAAACGAGGCATTGCTCTCAAGTCTCAACTATGTTATGTATGAATAAATATATATTTAGATCTTTTAATTTTAGTTTAGTTTACTTTTATTTTTATTTTTATTATTAGTTACATAATTTTGTTACTCGAATTTAGGAAGCCTTTGCTATTTTCTTTTATCGTTAAAACTACTTAATGAATTCGAAATCATCATAACTTAATTAAACTGAATTTATAAAATTAAGAGGGTAAGATTCATGTTCCTCTTAATTTTTCAAAGATAGATTTATATTATAAATTACCAAAGTACATATTTAGATAATATCACATCAATTGAAGGATAAACGTAAAATTTTATGATAGGATAATAATAATAAAAATTTTAAAATTTTAAAAAATAATGAACTTCTAAAATTATAAAAGCCAAAAATAAATCATCAATAAAAAATATGATAATTTAAAATTTTAATTGAACGATTGTTTCACCTGCCCTTCCTTCCATTGGATCATAAATAGGCTCATTATAGTATATCTCTGTTTTGAAAACCGGACCGGACCGGCCAGTTCAACCGGGAACCGTTGCCTAGTCACCGTTGAACCGTTCGAACCGGACCGGCTGAAAATCGGAAAAAATCAAAAATTTTGTTTTTAAAAAAAAAAATTAAATCAAACGTTGTTTGTTAAACGAGCCAAGTCGAACTGAGTATTGCTGAGCTCAACTCGAACTTGAAAACTTTAAAAGTAAGCTCAACTCCACTCAAACTCACAAGTTAAAAATTATCAAGTTCAACTCGAACTCGAAATATAATATTGAAACTTGAACTCAAAAAGGCTTGTACTAAAAAAAATTTAGAAGCTCAATTGAAGCCTAAAATTCGAGCTTGATTGAAGTGAAAAAATAATTTACTCAATGCTCACCAAAATGCTCCATGATTTTGATTGTCAAAGTACCTCTATTATTTATAGAAGTTAGTTGTGATGCTCTTCTATGTTTCTTAGCAATGTGAGATTGTTTTGTTCTCATATTTTTACTCTTTAGACTTTTAGGATGCTCTTCTATGTTTCTTAGCCATGTTAGATTGTTTTTAAAAAAAAATTAAACCAAACAATATCATTTTGTTATGATTTTTTTAGCCCCAAATTTATTTTTTAATTATAGTTATATAATTATATTTATTATTTAATATGTTTTACCTTAAATATTATGTTGTAGTTAATTTGAATCATTTTGTTTCACTTGATTTTATGGTTTTTAATTTATATATGTTATGACTTGCTTTGAATATGACTTGTGATATAAAAAATTATTTTTTATTAAATATTTTTAGTATTTTTATTTAATTTTTTAAATAATTATGACGTCGTCGGTTCTTCCGACCGGTCGGACCGATTGACGGACCATAAATCGATAGCATGGCCGGTTTTTTAACCGATCGATTCTGAAAACCATGGAGTATATCCACCGCTTCCTCGTCACCCATCATTGGATATGGTTTGGCTAAGCCCAGATTTGCGTCCTTTGAATCTTCACCTAAGCCACTTCCTATTTGTCTTTAAGCCAAGCATTAAGAAAACAGACTTCAGTAAATAGTTTTAGGTGGACTGTTCTTTCGCGGAAATTGCCAGTTTTTTTTTAGTTTTCAAGTGGTAATGAACAATTCCTACTTCTTTAGATACAAATATTTTAAAATAATGAATTCTTTCCATATGAATCATTCTCAATTCTTATAAATTTGAGTAATTAAAATTATTTTATATTTTTAATATTTGTATATTAATCATCTTATATTTTTATGAGTTGAAAAATGGTATTACTATAAAAATTTATTTGTTTAAAATAATATTTAATTTTGAATTATTAAAAAGTAGAACTTATATATTAAAAATAATATATTTGTCCATTTGAAACCATAATATTTTTTTTATATTATCATATTTTTTATAAATAAATATGATTCTTATAAAAATTATTTAAAAATATAAGTCTAATACATTAATTATATTAATTATATATTAAATATAATTTTCTTTAAATTTGAATAGTGTAACAATAAAAATATTTTTATGAAGTTTCATCCAAATATTTATAATTTAATATTAAATTTAACTTGTTAAAAACATATATCATTAAAATCAAACACTGTAATTTTATATTCATGTTAAACAAACTAAACAAAATGATACTCTTATATTTTATAAACCAAACACATTCTAAAATGATATTTTCCATAGAAATGAACATTCCCCGAAGATAAAGCACAGTGACCTACCAAGTGACTGTTTGCCGTTTATAGGAAAAAATGGAAATCATATTTTGGATTAAAAAGCCTAGTTTACAAACACTAATAAAGCCTGACATCCGAGGATGCAATTAGACATTGGCAAGAGGAGCAAGACAATTGGTAGTGCAACTAGCATTAGAAACTGTTAGCGCACGGTGGCCGGAGAGAGAAGATGGATGGCGGCAGAATTGAATATTTGGGTTAGACTAATATTTAAATATTAATAAAAATTATCTCAATAATTAAAATATTAATAGATGTATCTAACCATATTTTAGATAATTCTAAAAATTATTCATAAATTATTGTATATCGTATAATAAGTTCTTATATAATTTTACACTTAATATTTGTTCGGCATCAGACAAAGATTTGATTTTTTTAAAAATAAATAATATTTTTAAAAATTAAATAAGTGATCAAACTTTTTAAAAGAAATTAATTTGATCTTTGAACGAGATTAAAAAATTAATTTAATCATTTTTATACGATCATCTATTGTAGACTGTCAACTTAATAACGCAGACTATAATATTAATATTGAAATCGTTAATATTTGATTTCATTAATCAAGATATTACTTTTTAAAATTTAAAAATCACATTAAGTGTATATATTTTTTAAAAAATACATTTATTTTTTTAATTTCTTTTAAATTCCTTAAATACCACCACTATTATTTTAATAACCTTATTCCCAAAAAAAACCAATTATAGGCAGCCAAAATGTCTCAAATCTCAATGATGTTAAAATAAAGGTCTTACTGAAACACACATAAACGGATCGAACGAAGAAATCATCAAGCTTTTGACATTTAAGCTTTTACGGGTAGCGGTATTATGTCTGCTCCTGCGCCAAAATCCTGTTTTGGTCTCAAAATTTTCTTTTTTTTCCAGTTCTATTAATTGCCAGGTAAAACTCTCTCCATCTCTTTTGTATCCGTTCAATTATACCCAAAACTATATTTATTGTTTAATGGCTTTCATTCAACTCGCAATTCAGCATTCTTTTATCTTATGAATGTGTAGTTTAGAACAACCTTTTCTTATTTGAGTTGAAGGTAGTTGGTTATGGATTCTCAGCTTCTACGATTTAACCCACCCACCAATCTTTCTTTTAAACCATTGGTCTCTGTTGAAAACACACTTGTAGAAATTCAACTAGAAAACGTTCACTTCATTTACACTGCATTTGCTACTGTTATATACACAATTGTGTTGCTGAGCTGGCTGTAACTGCTTTGTAGTTTTAACAGCCTGCAACTAACTTTCCTAACAACCTGAAACTAACTCTTACGCACACATACAATCACACTCTCATACATACATCCACACTCTAACATTCTAACATTCTCCCCGCTCCTTCAACTCCTTCTGCTTTATTGACAAGGCAGTACACGCAATTGATCTCGAAATACTTTAAATTCTCCCTTTGTCAATGACTTTGTAAGACCATCTACCACCTGATGACAAGCTAGAACATAGTTTACCTGCAATTGTTTAGCTGCAACCTTCTCACGGATAAAATGCACATCCATATCAACATGCTTTGACTGTGCATGATACACTGGATTCGTACTTAAAGCAACATCACTCATATTATCACACCAAATGACAGGTGTATCACGAGTTTCTATTCCAAGCTCACCTAATAACGACCTCATCCATGTAACTTCATCTCCTGCCTCAGCAACGCTTCGATATTCAGCTTCCATTGTAGACCTGGAGACTGTTTTCTGTTTCCTTGAGCACCAGACTACAGGACATGCACCGATAAAGACTATATGGCCAGACACCGACCTTCTGTCATCAAGGCTACCTCGCCAATCATCATCAGTAAATGCAACAATTTCAAGTGACTTGCCAGCACATGAAAACGTAAGACCATAGTTTAATGTTCCAGCTAGGTATCGAAGTATCCTCTTTACTGCAGCCAAATGCAATTCTCGTGGAGCATGCATATACTGAGCAACTTTATTGACACTAAATGCAATATCGAGTCGCGTATGACACGCATACAACAGAGCACCAACGATGCTGCGATATTCGTGTGCATTTGTTAAAAGCTCTCTAGCATCCAGAGTCAATTTTGGAGACCCTACCATCGGGGTGGCAGTGGGAGTGGCATGCAATAAGTCTATCCTTTCCAACAACTCAAGTATGTATTTCTTTTGAGACAACACTAAGGACTCCTTGCTGCGTTTGACTTCAATGCCCAAGAAGTAGGACAGTTCTCCTAGATCCTTCAAGGAAAACTCCTGATTCAACGCTTGAATTACATCATTAAGAACACCCGAAGAGGCACTTGTTAGTATGATATCATCAACGTAAACAAGAACATATGTATAACAACCTTCATCATTCTTAACAAATAGTGATACATCAGCCTGAGACGCACTAAAGCCTAGCCGAATCAAACTGGCTTTAAGCTTGTCGTGCCAGTTTCTTGGTGCTCGCCTCAAACCATATAGCGCTTTATGAAGTTTGCACACAAGAAGGCTGCCATCAGCTGCATACTCCTCGAAACCAGGTGGCTGTTGCATAAACACTTCCTCGGTCAGATCACCGTTTAAAAAAGCATTATTCACGTCAATTTGCCTTAAGGGCCACCCCTTTGCAACTGCAATTGACAGAACTGCATTCAATGTTGGAAACTTGACAACATGACTATATGTTTCCTTAAAATCATAACATGGTACTTGTGAATAACCTTTAGCAACAAGGCGGGCCTTGTGTCTCTCAATAGACCCATCAGCCTTCTTTTTTTATTCTAAACAGCCACCTACAGCCAACAACCTCACGTCCTGCAGGCAACTTGACAAGTGACCAGGTCTTGTTTCTTTGTAAAGCATGAACTTCTGCATGAACAGCTTCTTTCCAGCTAGAAGTCTTGAGTGCTTCATAAATATTTCCTGGAACTTCATCAACAACAACACTCGTATAAGCTTTTTGTTTCACTATACCACACTTACTTCTTGTCATCATTTGATGTGTATTTACTCGAGCACTATCTACATTACAAGCATTTTCTGCAGACGTACACAACTGATTCACCCCTTGATCATTATCATGAGTACTAGTAGTCTCATCTTGACCTGCATCACCAATATATTGGTCAGAATATGAGACTTCACTTGGTACTTGATGCTCGACACCTGGTACAACACCTACATCTTGTGCCATTACATAACTGGAATTAGCACCAGGTGCATTATTCGAATCTCCACTGGTACTGGCCTCATAGTCATGACTTGATTCAACAGTACTTCTGCCATTGATCAGTTTGCTAACATCAGTTACTACTTGTAACGATCTAGAACAACTCCTTATATTTGATGCAGTAGTCTCATGACTAATTTTTTCTGCAAATGGAAACTGTATTTCATCAAACACCACACGCCTTGTGATATAGATTCTACCATCCTCAGCAAGACATTGAAACCCTTTATTTTGCATACTGTAACCTAAAAACGTGCAAGGCTTGGACCTGAAATCCAACTTATGTTGTAAATATGGTCTCAAATGATGAAAACAAAGACACCCGAATACCTTCAATTGACCATAATCAGGTTTCATGTGGAACAATTTCTCAAATGGTGAGACGCCTTGCAAAACTCTCGTAGGAAGCCTGTTTATCAGGTGAACTACTGTAACCACAACATATGCTCAAAATTTGACAGGCATTGATGCTTGAGCAAGTAGGACGAGAGCTAATTCAATAACATGGTGATGCTTGCGTTCGACCACTGCATTCTGCTCGGAGGTATGTGGACATGTCAGCCTGTGTGTGATGCCCTCACTCAATAAGTGATTTGAAAGCCTGCGATGCTGACCCCCCAATCACTTTTCACAACCTTTATTGGTAAGTTAAACTGAACCTTAACCATTTGCTAAAACATTTCAAACGCACTGACTGCTTGAGCCTTATCTTTCAGTAAATACAACCATGAATGTCTGGTGCATGCATCAACAAATGTTACATAATATTTATAACCATTCGAGACAATGTGTGAAGGTCCCCAAATATATGTGAATACCAACTGAAAGGGAGTATCATACACGGTAGTAGATGCATGGAAATGTAATTTGTGACTCTTTCCTAAATGATAGGCAACACATGTCTTATTGATACTTGAAGGAAGACTTACATTCAATTCCTTACAAATTTTTACTAGGCTATCATGCGAGGGATGACCCAAACGCTGATGCCACAACTCATACACATAAGCATATAATTGTGTTGTATAAAGTGGTGGCTTAGAACTACCTCCAAGTGATGAATCCACAACAAAGGAGTACAAACCGCCATCTTCTTTCCCTCTAAGCAAGATTGCACCAGCCTTTTTATCACGAACGCATCACTCATGTACATGGAATTCAAAGAAAATGTCGTTATCCCTAGCAAGCTTTGACACCGAGATTAAATTCTTGGTTATTATTGGCACATGCAACAAATCGGTTAAAAGCAACACACGAGAATATGTATGTAAGGGAGATTGTCCAATATACTTAACATCTAATGCAACACCATCACCAACAATTAATTTACCTGGATTGTTGAAATCCACAGGTTGAGAAATGTGCATACCATCAGAAGTGACATGATGTGTGGCACCCGAGTCCATAATTCAGTGCTCACGAGCTGCAGTTGACTTATGACAACTTGATTTCTGACTAACACCACACTCACAACCAACATCTTTGTTAGCAGCATAGTATGTCGTGCTTGACTCATTCTTTGAGTATGAATTGCTATTAGCTGTAACTCCAGGAAAATCCTCATCAAATCGATGCCAACATCGATCCACCAAATGGCCATTCTTTTCACATAATTGACATTGCATCCGAGACCTACCTCGTCCTCTACCAGTTGATCTACCACGCGAGTACGTTTGACGAGAGGTAACCGATCGCTCAGACTGATATGCTTCTTTACCATCATTTTTCCTTGAGCAACATGTGCACTCATAGGAAGTGAATCAAGTGGATCACAGAACCCAGCTAGTTGAGTCTCAGCATCTAACAACATTGTGTAGAAAGCATCCAAAGACACTGACTCTCGTATTATGGTTATGACAGCTACAAAAGGCTGGTACTCGCGAGGCAATCCCTTCAAAACGCTGGCAACTTGTACTGCTTGAGACACAACACTGCCACGCGATGCTAGAGCATCGCACAGTTCTTTAACTCTAGTCAGATACACTCTCATAGATTCATCACCTTTTTTAAGCGACTGGAGTTTGTTATGCAGACTAATAACAGCAGTCGTAGATCTATTGGAGAAGAACTGAAGAACCGTGCTCCATACTGCAGAAGCCGTTTCATCGCCCACAAATTGAGGTAGCAATTGTGGACTTATTGTTGACAATAGCCAGGATGCCAAAGCATTGTCCTGTGCAATGAATTCCTCATACTGCTCATTCGGTATATTTTCACCAGATTCGTTAAGTACTGTCTGTGATGGAGCAGTCATCAAGCCGGTAAGTAGCCTCTCCAATCTATGGCTAAGGACAGTGAGTAACACTTGTTGCTTCCATAGTAAAAAATTTCCTTCATCAAGGATGACATTAACCCTTTTATTGGAGAATGTCTTTGCATTCCTCAACGTATTCTCCACTGAGGATAGCCGATTAGTGTTCATGACTGAAATCTTCCTTCTTCTTCTTTAAGCAGCGAAAGCACAAAGAAACCACCTGAATCGTTTGGCGAAAGATACCATGTTGAAAACACACTTGAAGAAATTCAACTAGAAAATGTTCACTTCATTTACACTGCATTGCTACTGTTATATACACAATTGTGTTGCTGAGCTAGCTGTAATTGCTTTGCTGTTTTAACAACTTGCAACTAACTTTCCTAACAACTTGAAACTAACTCTTACGCACATATACAATCACACTCTCATACATACATCCACACTCTCATACATACATCCACACTCTAACATTCTAACAGTCTCTCCCAATTTTCCTAGTTTTCCTAGTTTCATTGGTCTGTCATAGTTTTCTTTTCCTTCAGCTACAGTCACAGGTACTTCCTTTTTTCGTAATTTCTTATTTTATATATATGAAAATGATCGCTGTTTGATTTTCCAATGCTCTGGTTAGTTCATTGCATCCGAGCATTTTCCTCATTAGTTTCTACGACTCAAGAGCTGTGTTTGAATCTAATCTACCATAAAATAGTTTTTGCTTTGTGCTCGATAAAAAGAGAGTACTTTTTTACTAGCGCGTGGACCCAGTTTAGGAAACTTTGAGAAACATGCATTTTTTTCTATCTATCTCCATTACAGGATTGGCTTGTAAGAGAATAAGGTGTGCAATGAAGTCTTATAAGTTATCAGAACTTAGTCATGCTGAGGTAGAAAGCTTGAAGGCTCGTCCTCGGATAGATTTTTCTTCCATATTCGGTGTGGTGGGTCTGTCCCTTCTTTTGTTCTTTTTTTATACATATCTCTATTCGACCCCTGCTGGCTTTAAATGTTTATATATGCTATGCTTCTCAGATCCAACCAATAGTTGAAGATGTCCGCAGTAGAGGCAATGCCGCAGTTAAAGTATCGGTGTTGCTTACAATCTTTTTACATACTTCCATTTTTTGTGTGACCATTTCTAGTAATGTTAAATTTGTGGTTGTTTGTAAATATATTTCTTGTGCAGTTATATTGAAAAGTTTGATAAAGTTAAACTATAGAAAATTGTTAAGAATGTCTCTGAGCTTCCTTATCCTGAGGTAATTTATTTTAAAGAAAATATTATCCTTAAATCTCTTCAATGCTCTATGTCGTAACCGGTTTTTGCCCGGGTACGAATTTTTACTTGGCGGGAAAAATAAAAATGAATAAATAAATGATTTTGGTTTAAAAAAATATTTTGGGAGTCGCCATTGACCTTTTTGGGTTAGGTAGGTCAAATACCTAAAAACAATCTTTTAAAATAGTTTTTAAGAAAACATAATTTAAAAGATAAACTCATCTGCGTATAACTAAAAATTTTAGTAAAAAAGGGATTCGTGGTCGATTACGTTTAAGGAAGGATTATCACCCCTATAACGCCCAAAATTGATACTCATTAATTATAAATTGTCTATATTATTAGAAATTTAAGAATTCAAAGATATATTTCATTCATAAATTTTGTGATTTCAAATTTATTACTATAATTTTAAGAAAAAATTATTAACTTTTACAAATATATATATATATATATATATTTATAAATAATATATTTATTTACTTAGAAATATCAGAAAAATACTTCTAGTTGCTTTAAGACATTCATTTTCTTAATATTAAAAAATAAATAAATATTAATAAAACATTTCTCTAAAACTAATTAAATTAATATATATATACAATTTATAAAAGTAGGATATTTATTTATTTAAAAATATCAGAAAAGGACTTCTAGTTGCTTTAAGACAACCATATTCTTAATATTAAAAAATAAATAAATATTAAAATATGTTTATAAAATTAATTTATATAAAAATAAATTTATAAATAGGATTTTTAATTATATATATAAAAAATAAATATATAAATAAAACTTATTATATATATATTTATATGACTAAATAATAATACTACTAATAATAATATATTGAAAATAAACATATAAAATTAAAATATAACTAAACAGTGACTAAAATAAATAAAATTAGAACTATAGTACTAAAATATAAAATGGAAGTATTTAACATTAGTGGTTAAATTATAACATATTAAAATTAAATGGTCTAATTCGTAATATATTATTTAAAATTACAATGGCTAAACATGCTATTTTACCTATTATTAATTTAGTGACTAAAATAAACATATATCAAATTTGAAAATCAAATTAAAATAAATTAAAACATGCTTTTCGGGATTAAAATATTAATTAGTAAAGTTATGATGGCTAAATTGGTTATTTACCTTAAAATATATATAATTATGTTAAGGACTAAATTATAAATTAAATGAAATTTAAATATCGAATTAAAAGAATCATATATTTGATTCAGTGACTAAAATAGAAGTTTATAAATATAGGATGACAACGGGTATAATTTACCCCTTTTAAATTACGCATATACCCCTCCCCAAAACGGTGTCGTTTGGGAAGGGGTATAAATACCCTAAAATGGCCGGCCTTAAGGCCATTTCTCTCATTCTCTCATTTCCCATTCTCTCTCTAACTGAGAGAGATGAAAACTCTCTCGCCTCTCTCTGGGATTCCCTCACCGGAGGGAATCTGTTCACCGGTCGGCAGCTGTCTGCCGCCATCGGCCATTGCCTCCGGTGGCCGGAAAAATACTATTTTACATAAAAATGAAGCCCAATTCTCCCTTATCTCAAATATAGCCTCTTTTTTTACCTAAAAAACTCTAGATCACCCTAGATAAAAAAAACCCGAAGGTTTTTACCTTTGATGGTTCCGGTTTTCTGGCTTTCCGTGAAGATTCCGATGATCGTGGTAAGTATTTTCTTCTTTTCTTTTTTTTTTCCGAATAGTTGCTGCTGGTTGTTCTTTCTATTTGCTCTATGTCCTTGTTTGTTTGCAGGTTTAATGTCTTTGATAGCCACCACGAACCTTGCCTCGGACCGGGTAAAAGAACACCCCTCAGTGAGTCATCGAACCCACAGTGGTGAGTCACCCTAAGGTCACAATGTGGACGGTCTCCCTTAAGTCTTCTGGAGTCTCTTGTTGAAACGACGGGGCTTGGCAACAGCTGGTTGAGACGTGGAGCGACGACGATCGGTGTAGTCCCTAGGGTATCATAACCCTAGGGTTCTTTTTGGCACGTTTGTGGATCGTTGGATCTCATTAGATCCAACGGTGGATGGTTGATGGTAGCTGGGGCAGAGATACAAATCTTAAATAGGGTTAGGGTTACACATTTGGGTCGGTTTGGGTTTCTGGGTTATGTAACTGGGTTCTGGTTTGGGCCTGTAATAATAATTTAATTAATAATAATAATAATAATAAATATAAATAATAAATAATAAAATAAAATAAAATGAAAAAACTGATGTCTACAGCTGCCCCTCTTTGCTCATTCTTGTGTTAACAAGAATAGGGCAAAGACGAAAAGACAATAAGTTTTTTTTCATTTGACTTCACTTGATTAGGATGGAAATGTTGAACAAGTTCTTCTCTGGGATTAGTTCTTCTCATTATGAACTCTCCCACTGGGGATGACAATTTATTTCCTTCTGTGATGTAATCTAGCAAAAAAAAGTTGAACAAATTCTTTCATTATGAACTTCTTCTTATTCTTTAGATGAGTTCTTCTCATTATGAAATCCTTCTGAAAATGCTGATCTTCAAAAGATGGGTTGTTAATTCAGCTTCATATGTGATAAATTAAGGCAAGGTTGAACAAATTCTTCTCATTATGAACTTCTTCTCCTTCTTCAGATGAGTTTTTCTCATTATGAACTCTTCTGGAAATGTTGATGTTGATCTATCTCCTTCTGTGATAGCGTCATGCAAAAGGTTGAACAAGTTCTTCTCATTATGAACTTCTTCTTCCTCTTCAGATAAGTTCTTCTTATTATGAACTTTCTCTGGAAAAGTGTATGATGATCTATCTCCTTCTATGAAAGAGTCATGCAAAAGGTTGAACAAGTTCTTCTCATTATGAACTTCTTCTTCTTCTTCAGATGAGTTCTTTTCATTATGAACTCCTTCTGAAAATGTTGATGTTGATATATCTTCTTCTGTGATAGAATCAAGCAAAAGGTTGAACAAGCTCTTCTCATTATGAAATTCTTCTTCTTCTTCAGATGAGTTCTTCTCATTATGAACTCTTCTGGAAATGTTGATCCATCGAGTGATGAATTCAAATTTTTGTTGAAATCTTTGCTAATCTTTGCAATTCCTGTCAAATATTCAACATTGATAAAATGAATGAAAATGTCCATATTTTTGCAAATGTCTAAATATGATGCATGAATATTAAGTTCATTTTTATTTGATTTCAAAGTGGTGAACTCAGTCTTCCTTCACTTAGTCAAAATGTCATTTCAAGCTGGCATTCTCTTTTCTGGAAGAGACTTATTATATCTTCTTCGCTTCATTTGTGTTAAAGTCTCAGAAGAAATGTTTCATTCACAAAATTCTTGTTGCGGTTAGAATTATGACCTTGTTCCCCCATTTTATCATGGATAATACACCGACTTTCTTTGCTTGGACTTGTGTAGAAATCCAATAAATCTTTCTTCTTTGAAAAGAGAATCTATCATTTTTGAAGAGAGCATCTATCATCTTTGAAGAATGTAGAATGCCAAACTTAGTAGAGATAAATTAAGAGAGCATTATATGTTCTGATTTGACTCTTGAAACACATCATAAGGAAAATTTATCCTAATTCCTTTCATGTCTCCACATCTAATCAGATCTCGAACAAAACCATTCGACCATATTATGTCGAGATACTTAACAACAATCTGTTGTTCAATCTTAGTTGGCTCCACTAGTTTCTTGTTGTTAAAATTTCAGCTCCCCTTCTGTTGGAAAAAAATCTTCCGTATTTCACTTTAAACCTTGGTGTTGAAGAAGACAAACTTCATTTCGGATCAATAAATGTAAACACCACATGATCACAATATTAGTTCAGCACCATAATTACTGGTTCGTAAAACATTTGACAACATATTCATTCTTTCTTGTTGCTTCTGCCTAAATTTTCAATGTTCGTAAAGCATTTGACAACACATTCATCATTTCTTGTAGTTTCTGCTCAGAATTTCTTTTCTGCTTTTCTGTTTTACTTGCTTCAAAATTACTCTATGATGGTAATAACTTGTTCGCTTTTCAACAATGATTGCAAATGTTGATAAGACTTACTTTGGATTCATTGCACTTAAAAGTATTAACATAAAGTGATATCCAGAAATTTTGTTTGTTTCAAAATTATGTTAATCCATTTGCAAGATGTTTATATGAAAGAATAAATTGAATTTCGAAAATAAATTGAATTTCAAAAAGATAAACTTGGAATCTATTAATAAATAAATAGAAATGTATTCAAAGTTATGGCAAACATAGAAATGATAAAAATTCAAATGACTCAACAAATTATTAGCATAAGTATTTCTAAACTAATCAATTTGATATAATTTAGAGCACTGAGGTAAGCTTATGTCTGGAAGATCTTGAACGTTGCCAGAATATTTGTAGATGTAAAGCTTCTCCCAAAATATTAAACTCTTAAGAGGGAGTAATTGCCAGATGCCTAATATCAACATGCATTTGAGTAGCCCTTTCAGGTTTTCAACTCAAATCCTTCATTTGGTTGCAAGACGCCCTTTGTGGGTTTTCATCTTGACCCTCCGTTTTATTTTCTACTTTTTATTTTCTTTTTCTTTTTTCTCTTTTTTTTTCTTTAAGCATAATATTTCTTGATAGAATATGAGTTTATTGGATTTCTCAGAACTTTTTCATCTATTTCTGCCAAGATTAACGCTCCTTCGGAAAAGGCCTTTTTTACAGCATATGGCCCTTCCCAATTAGGCATACATAAAGATTTCCGTAGGAAATCTTTATGTATGGGCAAGATCTTTTTT